GGCTTCTCAGTTGGAGCAGAGGCGAGACCAACACCCTGGTATATTCGCGGTGGCAGAACCAGTCTACACCTGGGCGCAAATTGCATCGGACAGAGCTCTACCTTGGGAAGTTATGAATCAAGCTTTCTCAGCAGCAGCGACACCGACTGGGCCCAGTTCCTTCGTGGCAAGATGTGGCGGGGCCTGCAGGTGCGGTTTGGAACGTCCTCCACCAACTGGGTTGGAGAGCTCAGTCCGCTTTCCAGTGGACCACCGCCCAGGGCGTCCAGCTTGATCTCAGAGTTGATCCACCTGATTGGGTACGTGCTCTGGCGAGGAGGTCTTTCGTCAACTATAAGTGGGAAGAGTGGGCCTCGCGAGCTGACCGCGCACCTGAGACGGAGGCTCCTACACGAAAGGCATGTGGGTACTGGCTTGCCCCTCTCCAGCTTCTGCTCACTACTCGTGATCAAGCTCGCAAGTGGAGACTTTCAGTACGAGCGCGCGCAGCGCTCCGCAGCGCCATCATCGGCGGCCAATGGTCACAAGCGATATTGCACAAGTACGGCTTCTCGGACACGGAGGAGTGCATGCATTGCCAGGACTGCAAGGGCACGCTTCATCATCGATTATGGTGCTGCCCCAACTTGGCTGAGGAGCGCTCGCTCGCAGTGGATCGAGAAATCATTGGTGAGGCGCGCCAGGCTCCTGAGAACGACATGCTCTTCGCGCGAGCCATGCTTGATCGAGATCAGCTCCCAGTTGTGCCCCCACCAGTTCGCGAGGAGATCTGGTACTACGCCTACGGCGGCCAGCTTCATCAGATCACGGGCGAGGTGTACACCGACGGAGCAGGTCGCACGCACATTGGCTGGCCTGAAGGTGCTCGAGCGGGCTGGGGACTGGCCCTCATGGACGACCAACGATTGAACGGCTTAGCGTTCGGTCCTCTCCCAGGAGCTCAGCAGTCGGTGCCCAGAGCCGAGCTCTACGCCATCATCATGACGCTCAGGAATGGCATCCTCCCCCTCCACATGCACACCGACTGTGATGACGATCGACGGTATCAACCAGGGCAAGCAGTGGTGCCTGCATCCTTGACGGGCTCACGTCGACTTGTGGCGGCTGCTCTGGCACGCGCTCGAGGATCATGGAGGCATCAGCGACATCCTCGCCATCGAGTACGTCAAGAGCCACCAGACACAGGAGGACAGCAGGCATCACCACGGCAAGAAGGGCAATGACTATGCCGACGCGGCGGCGAAGAAGGGGCTCGCCAAGCACGACATCCCACCAGCGGCGCGTGCTCGGCGTCGGGAGCTCCTGGACCGAGTCCGCCAGATCGCGGCCTGGATCGGCAACGCGCAGGAGCTGGTCGAGACGAGGCCCGACAGGATGCCGACGGTCTCGAGGCGAGCTCGACGGCAGCAGCGACTCCGACGGGGTCGTCCACGGCGAGAGCGGCGGCCCCCCGCGCCACTCTTGAGCCACCAGAGGCGCCATGCACCTGAGCGCGCGCTGTGTGGCTGGAAATGCGCCAATTGTCCGCGCTTCGCGCGATCCGCCGCTGGTAAGAGGCGAATGATGGCGCAGGTTTGTTTTGTTGATCTCCCTCTGCTTAGGATTGTGGACCCGCAGCCCCCGTCTGCCCCCAGAGAGCCTGAGCCCCTTAGGACCGAGCGCCCCAGGGACCCCTCGGAGGCCTCGGAGGGCAAGGTGGCGCGCCCGCGGCTGGAGGCCAAGAAGGCCTCAGGGGATCCCGAGGAGACTTCGCCTCCTCCTCCTCCTGCTCCTCCTCTGGGCCTTGAGGGCCCTCCTCCTCCTCCGCCTCCTCCTCCTCCCTATGGGGTGGCCCAGGAGTCCAGGAGCCAGGCCAGGCCAATCAGGGAGCTGGCGGAGCCTTTCGTGAGGCAGGTCAAGCCCAGGGTTCGGTTCGAGTCGCGTCCCCAAGGGGTGGTCCGCGATGCGGCGACCGCCCTCGACGGCTCGAAGAAGCGCCCCCGTCTGGCGGCCCCTTGTAGGGCCACGGCTGCCCCTCCCAGCACGGTGCCCCCGTCGGATGGGGATGCGTTCGTGCCGCCCGAGGCGGCCCGAGGTCACATCCTGTACAGGGCTGCGGAGATCCTAGGATGCACGAGGCGTGGCTCTTTCTCTGCGAAGGCCGCCCGTTCCGACCGGTATGGCACCTGCGACCCGCAGGCTCTCGCGTCCAACCCCCAGCGGAGGTGGCGCCGAGATAACTTCGCTTCGGGCCGTCATCCCAGTGACGGCCGAAAGCACCCCATCCCCATGCCCCGTAGGCTCCAGGTTTCAGACCCTGCTGTGCAGTGGCTGGGGTTGCTTCAGAATTTAACGCCTTAAATTCCGTTTTAACTCGTTTTGTATTTTCCCGCGTGTAGGGCATCGTCTGGTGAGTTGATCGTCGGTGCTTGCATGCGTCTGCTCCAGGTTCTGCTTTCCAGTTCCTGTGTTGCTCCTGGCCAGGCCTCTGGTTGGTGAGTGAGCGTGTGCCCTGTGGCCGCGATGCTTTGCTGGGCTATTGCAGGGTGTGCCCTCGTCGTTCTGTGTGCGATTGTGCTTCTCACCTTTTCCCTTTCCTCTTGTCTGTCCTTCGTCTCGACTCGGCGCGTCGCCTCATGTGCTCGTTGCTCCTCCTCCTCCTCCTCCTCCTCCCTCCTCCCCCCTCCCTCCTCTTCCTCCGGTTTCCTTCCTCCACCCCTTCCTCTTCGCCCTCCTCCCTCCTCCCTCCTCCGTCCCTTTTTCTTCCCTCGTCCTCCCCCCCCTTCTCCTCCCTCTCCTCCTCCTCCTCCTCCTCCTCCTCCTCCTCCTCCTCCTCCTCCTCCTCCTCCTCTCCTCCTCCTCCTCCTCCTCCTCCTCCTCCTCCTCCTCCTCCTCCTCCCCTCCTCCTTTTTCCTTCTCCTCCTCCTCCTCCTCCTCCTCCTCCTCCTCCTCCTCCTTCCCCTCTCTCTTCCTCCTTTTTCCTCCCTCCACCCCCTCCTCTTCGCCCCTCCCTCCTCCCTCTCCCGTCCCTCTTTCCTGCCTTTCTCCTCCCTCCTCCCTCCTCCTTTCCCTTGTCGTCCCCCTTGTCTCCTCCCTCCTCCTGCTTCCTTCCTCCCTCCTCCCTCCTCCCTTCCCCTTCCGTCCTCCCTCGTCGCTCCCGTTTGATATTTCCTCACCTGCTACTGAAGATTGGGGCCCTCGTTTCGGCATCGCTTCTGGGGGGCTTCCAAGAGTCCCGGCTGAACCTTTTTTATAATAATTAGTTAACTATTATTTTTGAAGAGCATAGATAGTGAGAAGGAGGAGAAGAAGGAGGACGGATGGATTTCAGGGACTCCAAGGATCGAGGGTCGAAGGATTGACTTCAGGGATTCCTTGAGAGGGCGTGGAGGGGCAGGTGGGGGATGCGACCATGGGAGCGGCAGCGCCCGCGGGCGTGAACGTTCGAGGTCACGTGCCGAGGCCACAGGATGGTGGCGTAACAGTTCCAACGAGGAGTAAGAACCACCTCATCCTCGGAGGCGCTGCTACTACAACTACTCCTTCCTCCCCTCCTCCTCCTCCTACTCCTCCTCCTCCAGCCTCCTCCTCTCCCCTTTTATCTCCCTCATGTTCCCTTCCCTCCTCGTCCTCTTTTTCCTCCTCCGAGATGCGGGGCGCGCGCAAGGCGACTGCGATGGACGTCGAAGTTCCTCAGAAGAGGCGGTGGCAATATTTTCTTGGGCGGGAGATCTGGGCGAGGGGATGTCGGGCTCCGCGCGGCACCAGCGATGGGGCGTGGTATCCAGAGCGATGCGCGTCACATGTGGATGCGCGGCGCATGAAAATAAAAGTTTCGTCGTTGTTGTTGTCGTTGTTCGTTGTTGTCGCCCCCCCCTGCGACCCGCCCCGCGAACCGCCCGCGCCCCGCCCCGCGATCCAGCCCGCGACCCATCCCGCGACTAAACCGCGACCCGCCCGCTATCCACTCCGTGACCCGCCCGCGACCGCGACCCAGCTCGCGACCCACCCCGCGATCCGCTCGCGACCCGCCCCGCGACCCACCCCGCGATTCACCCCGCGACTCACCCCGCGACCCACCCCGCGACCCGGCCCGCGACCCACCCACGACCCATAACGAACCCACCAGCGCTCCGGCTTGCGACCCGGCCCGCGACCCACCCGCGACCCGCCCGCGACTCGCCCCGCGACCCACCCCGCGACCCACCCCGCGACCCACTCCGCGATCCACCCGCGTTGCTTCGACGAAAAAATCTGCGCCTGCGGCGGGCTTGTTCAGAGCTTCGCAGAGTGACGACGTTTTCACCGCCCCTCACTCTTATTCGCAGCTGCGGGGTGCTACATATTTATTGGTGCGTCCTTGGGCCCCATCTAACTTACGTTTCTGCCTACTTCCTCCGACCGTAAAGTACCCGTACCCCATCAGCCCGTCCAGAAAAAAATCCCCAGGCCAGTTATCGTGAGAAGCGCAGAGGCGAAGGATGGGTGAAAAGGTTGGCTCACAAGCTGGGGACAGCCCGAGGGGATCGCTCGGATGACTCCTGTGGCCGTCGTTGGGCTCCCTTGAAGGCATCATGTGAGCGTTTGGTGCCCTCGGGGTGGTGTGTTCTACAGCAATCTTGGAGGGCAGCGATCGGAAAGGATGGGTATTCCGTTCATGCAGTTCTTTTCGGAGCCTGTGAAATCGCCTGGGGGAGCCCTCTTGGGGCCCCCAGGGTGTGATTTGGGGTTTGAGTGCCCCTCTTGGTCTTGGGCAATCTTAACGCCAGCTTGAGACATCGGAGGCCCATCGGAAACGAAACGTCGGGGCCGACTGATCCTGCCCACGCTTGCTCGTCGTCGGCATCGTCCTCCGCCTGTTCTCGCGGGAAGAAGCAGGATGACCACGCCCAAGGTGCCCCAGTATTTTGTCGATACCGATCTAGGTCATGGTCCAGGCCGGCCATTGCGAGGATGATCTTCGACCGAAGATGGTTAATGCGGATGGTGACCAAGTTCGGCAACAACGTTTCTGTGTTCAGTTTTGGCCATGGTAATCGTTTTTGTTCCCCTCCGTTCTCCTCATTTCCCGCCTCTGAGATAACCCCCCCCGACGATCGGTTTGAAGCGCGTGCTGCGCGCGGCCACGCGTGCCAACGCGCGGCCGTGATCGAGTTTTCGCGCGGTCGGCCTAACACAGATGGCGGCCAGGACACTCCAGGAGCATCAATCCATCGGCCGCATCGTTGTCGCGGCCTCTAGCCACAACCATGGTCGTGCTCATCGTTTCCGTGGTCTCCCTGCAGCGGCGCCGCCCGCCACCGTGTGCAGTTTTTGGGTCCGGCGGCTTTGTTTCGCGTGGTTCTGACGAGATCGCGGGCCATAGCTCCACCACCAAGAATGGTGCTGTTACTCCTTGCCCCTGGCGCGCATACGACCACAATATGGTGACCTCTTGCGTGCATGCGACCACCATGGCTCGTCAGACGGTGATTGTTGCTGATACGGCTGCGACGGTCACGCTACCAGGTCGGAGCAGTTTTGCTACCAATGCCGCCACACGCGCCCATGCCGATTCAGAGCGTGTCGGGGATGTCCAAGCCCATCCCGCCAGATATCTGACAGTGGTGTCATATGTGGGCCACAAGGTGTTGAAGACACAATGCGATTATTTTTGTTTGTTGCACACCCGCCACGACCCTTGGAGGAGGAGGAGGAGGAGGAGGAGGAGGAGGAGGAGAAGGAGGAGGAGGAGGAGGAGGAGGAGGAGGAGGAGGAAGAAGAAAAGGAGGAGGAAGAAGAGAAGGAGGAGGAGGAAGAGGAGGGGGGAGGAGGACCCCCCCGACCAAACACGGGCCAAACCAGACATCATGTGGGGACGTCTCGTGCAAAACTGGGTCTAAGCCAGGCCAAGCCCAGGCCAAACCAGGCATCTTATGAGGGCGTCTCAAGCGAAACCGGGCCCAAACGAGGGCCAACCAGGGGCCACACCAGGCATATTTTGAGGATATTTCAGGCGGGGCGCGCGACCAAGCCAGGCCGAACCAGACCAAATGGTGGCCAAACCAGGTAGATTCTGAGGTCGTCTTAAACAGGATCGCCCAAACCAGGCTCCATCCATTCTCCTTGAAAGAGCTGATCAATGAAATGAGTGGCTCACCCGGAGGAGGGGGACGCAGGACGAAGCTCGTTTAGAACTTGATGGGGAGGTGGAGCGTTCGGACCGCGCGCACGCTAATGCGGAGGGGGTTGGGCGCAGAGGCCTTCATTTGTTGTTCGGGTGTTGTTGAGACTTCGGTGTGGCGTTCGGAGAGATACCTCCGAGCCTGTAGTGCTGCCATGGCGACGCCACCTGATACGCCTGCCACGACGGCGATTCTTCGGTGCGCACATCAATTCTTCGAGCGTGCCAGTTGCTTCGTCATAGCCTCCTTCAGTGAGCCACAATCGCCCGCTACCTTTGGACACGCGTTGGTGGTGCAAAGTCGGGCCGACGCTGCGCCAAACCGACGGCTGCGGCAGTGGCTGGCGGAGCATTTGGGTGGCTTGTGCTCGTCACGTTTTGGCCCCACTGGGGGCCACATTTGGCGGCGTCCGGGGCCTCCCGAGGCCATTTTGGGTCGAGAGTCCTGGAGAGTGCCTTATGGGCTCAGGGGCCATCTTGGGGCGTCTTGGGGTATTTTTCTTGGAAGTGCCCTGGGCCAGCTGGGGGGCCACACGCGCCATGTCGGCGGCACTGGGCCTCCCGTTGAGCCAGGACGCTGTCGGGAGCCCCCTCGGGCCCTTCGGGGGCGCTTTTGGGTGCCTCCTGAGCCGTGTTGGTCCCATCGGGTTTTCCTGCATGTTGCATGGCCCTCCAGATGTTTTGGGCGTCGCAAGCGTTCGGGCTCAGGTCACGTCACCGATACAGCTTCATCTAGCCGCAAAAAAACTTGTTCCGCTCTGCGCCCGCGCGCTCACAGGCCCGCTCGCAGCTGGGCAAGTAAGAGGTGACTGGAGCGACATGGTTTCCAATGTTGGCGGGCGTGGCCCGAAGTTGTTTGGCGCAAAGCCTCGCGGCTCGGCGACTGCACTTTTCAAAGCAGGGCGCTGTCCCCTCCGTAGCCATGTTGGCTCAAGGGCGAGGTGGCTGAGGGCCGTTTGGGCGGGCCTGGATGCAGCCCCCCACAGGCCCGATGTCCTTGCCCCTCTGGTGAACTCTTGTGGGAGCCGGTCGCTACCGAACTCTCCCTGCATCCACCGTTGCACTCATAGCGCCGCCATGGGGGGGAAGCGACGCTCTGAACGACGTGAGCACCATGGACGTTCCGCCTCGTCAGGATCATCGTCCGCCAGAAGGAGTGCGAGCCGATTTGCGGACTCGCGCAGACCACGCGCACCCCGAGACAGTGAGCCCTCGAAGCCCGGCGTCATCGCGAACAGCATCCACAGCATGAACCAGATGATGGCCCAGAACACGCAAGAATTGGAGGGCGTTCACACGGCTGTGCAGACCAGCATTACGAGATGCGGCGAGCTCGCCGACAAGTCAACCCTGCGTCATCGCGGCGTGTACCAGAAGCACGCACAGATGACGGAGGACCTGATGACCGTGGTGGCCGACCAGGACAGCAAGATTGAGGCTCTGCGCAGCGATATGCAGCCTCGCGACACCAGCGGCATGGACATCGAGACTGCGCCGCCCGCACTTGCCGCCAAGTGCGGGGAGATCGAGCGTCAGTTGCAGGACCTCGCTGACCGTCAAAGGATCTTCGAAGGTCACATCGGAGGCATTCTCTCTACACCTACGCCCCCATCCTCTCCTTTCACTTCGGGCTCTTCAGTGAGTGGCGGGTCACGCCGCGCTGCGAGCCAGGTTGAGAAGGCGCGGGACGACGCGCGCAAGCAGCTTCTACTTGGGTTCCCGAGGCCCCTACTCGCGAAAGACCTGAAGACCGCGGTCGCCGCCTGCGTCACTGGTTTCGCCAGCTCCGCCGACCGGCCGAAGATCGTCGCCTCCGCGTTCAACATGCCCCAAAAAACGAGCCCGCTGGTTGAGAGCCCTCTCGCCGCGAGCACGTTCTTAGATAGTTGTTTTCGAGGGCGGGGAATTCTTGGGCTGATCCCGATCCTCTTCGCCCTGCTGCCTTTCTTTCTTTGCGAGTGCGTCGCGATCTCGATTTCAGTGTTCGCCAGTTGTTTCTGTCTCTCGGTCGTGCCCGTGCCCGTTTGGATGAGTTGCTCTCCCCGACAGGATTTGATGTTGGGGGCGCAGGTTTCAGCGGCGCCGCATATGTCCTTCGGAGTGCCCACGACCCTGGCGCCGCTGTGAAAGCGTCGGTGGGCGACGACGGTGTAGTTTCAGTATCTTGCGAACGGCGTGTGTTTGTTGAGCTCGGCATCCAAGACCATATCACCTCAGTCGAGCTGGCGGGGCCGCGCTTCTGCGCCGTCCCTTTGCACGCTGAAACGGGCTGTCGTGCAGATCAGGTGCCTCCCCCCTATTTCTGCTCCCTGTTCCTCCCCTCTCGTCCTTTCTCTGTCTGCGCCTGGGACGCCGAGGCCTTGTTCGCCTCTGTCAAGACAGATTCTTGTAGGGCATCAGCACAATGCGCAACATAGCTCAACCTTTGTCAAACACCATATATAGCTTCAGCACGGGAAACGCACGGGCATGAAAGGGGCCGCCGTTGAGCTTCTGCACCGGCTGCCAGGACACGCGTTCGGGTTTACTTTATTTTCGCGGACTCCGTGGGCGAGGGAGGGGTTGCTTTTGCGGTCTGAGAGCCGGTTTTGTTTCTCACTTCCTGTCCATCCTACACGCTACGCTGGTCACTGGGCGTGTCTTGAAGAGTACGTTCTGAGGAATTCTGGCAACTCGATTGCGTGCAATCTCCACTTGCCCAACACCTCCGACCCGCTCGCTCTTTTCTCAGGGTTTCTGAAGATTGCGCAGCAGGGTTTTGCTCGCCACTGTGAAGGTGGCTCTGGATTTGCGGCTCATGCTCTCTTCATGGGGGACTGAAAATTTGTCTTGGAGGAGGAGGGGGGGTTGCTGGGGATGGGAGTGGGTTCGCCGCTGGCGACGCATTTCACGCTTGTGCTTTTTACTTGGCACCTCCCGCGCCTCGCTGAGGTCTACCGGGGCTTGGGCACTCGGCGGGGGAGGAGAGGGGTGGCCGTCGATATGACGTTCAGCAACTGTATCTACACGTCGATTCCCCCCGCCTGTCTCCGCGACCCTATTATTGCGACCTCGACGATTGGGTTCCTGAAGTCTGCGACGCCGCGCGATCGCACCCCCGTCGAGGCGGTCTGCGAATCGCATCGCCCAGGGTTGCGAGGGTGCCCGAGTTTGGACGGGCTCTTGAAGACTCTCTTTCGGGGATGCAGGATTAGCGGGATGTCTGGGCGAGGCTTGCGGCTGCTAAAACTTTCTGTTCCGAGGCCGGGAAGGCCGCGCGACGAGCTCTTCGCAGCCGGGGGGCTAAGGCGAAGCGAGAGCGGCACCGCTGGGCCCCACGCGCTCTCCGCGCTGCGCAGACAGGCGGGGCTGCTCGCGTCCAGCCTGCAGTTCAATGCAACCCCAGGCTCAGCGTGTACTGCGTTTTTTTTTTTTCTCCAAATGCGCTCACCTTCGCGGGCTCTCTCGACGCGCGTTGCATTTGCATCGGCAGATCTTAGATGAGGAGGAGCAGGAGATGCAGCGTTCCAGCGTCGACGACGCCACGAGACGTTCGCAGGCGGCCCGTCTTCGTCGTCGCAAACTTTTCTGGCGCAAATTTCGGAGGCGCATGGTCTTGGGCTGTGTGGTTTTTCCCGAGGGTACCTCTGCTGGCTCCAATGCCGAAGCGGCTCGTGTTCTTGGCGGCCATTGGGCTGCGGTCTTCTCTGCCCCTGAGGTTGACGCGACTAAGTGGAATGGCCTTGCCCCCTCGTCAAGAATGTCGAGGGCCCGCTTGACCGTGAGAACGGATCTTGCCCTACCCTGAAATGTATGAGATGGTTTTAGGTCCCGCGCACGGCACTCCTGGTCCTGACGGGCTAACCTACGATACTTGGAAGCACCCGTGCCCGTTTCGCCTCCTCTATCGCTGTTTTCTCGCCCTTTTCGACGACCTCATCTCCGCCCTTCCCGATGGCGCGCCGCGTAGTCTGATGGTCTTTCTCCCGAAGGGCACGGGCCCGAACGATGCACCTGGGCAGGTCCTCTCCCGTGCTGCGCCGAATGCGCGTCCGCTCAGCTTGGGCAGTGCAGAGGTCAAGCCGCCGTCGTTGCCAACGCCTCGCACCTTGTCGGGCCCGAGCAGGAGTGCGCAGCAGGGAAGGGCATGATTGGGAACGTAGTCGAGGCAGAGGCTTGGGGGGTGATGAGGTGCGTGAATGATGACACACACTCGGCAATTCTTCTCACCGGTTGTGCTTCGGCCTCTCCCAGCTTGTCGCAGAGCTGGCTTTTCTTTGTCTTGCGCGCGATGGGGATCTCCTCCCACATTATCCAGTGCTTTGCTATGGTGTACGCTTCGAATACTGCGATTATCACTGCTGGGGGTCAACGCTTCCACTCGATCGACGTCCGCTCAGGCGTTAAGCAGGGGCGCCCTGCCTCCATATTCCTATTCGTGCTTGCCGTCGCCCCTCTCCTGGACAGGGTCAGACTTAGGTGCTCCGCCTCCCTTGGCCTCCACCTCG